TTTTAGCAGCATCATATGACCCCTTTAAATAATAATAATAATAATTATTATTATTGTTATTTAAATAGGTAAATAAATAACTTTTATTTCATAACTTTATTTTTTTATTTTAACTTTATGCCATCAAAGGTGGATAAAAGTGAAATGGAAATGCAAACAATAAGAAAAAAAGCACAAACAAAATACACAAGATAAACTTGATAAGAACATAAATAAGAATGCAAATAATATGGCCTACAGTTGGACAAGAAGGGTAAAGAATAAAACCAGCTAAGTAAAAGATCTAAAGAAAACATTTCAGTCTGAATTTCAGGAAATCTGGAGATGGTAAAGATTTTATTTACGGGGGATTTCACGTACTAGATATGGGCGTTTGTCTTTCATTTCAGTTGAACTGTGAAGTGAGCCTCCCTCATAATATGGGCTTGAGAGCATTAAAGGCACAATATGTAATTTTCGCCGCTAGAGGGCGCGTATTCAAAATAAACAAAGAGGCAAAGGCGTAGTTTGATGAAGCCGTGACTGAGTGTGGAATCATGGGAGTTGTCGTCTTCATCCCCACAGCTGATGCAATCCGACGGGACTCGGGCAGCAATCATGTTCATGGATGAGCTAATGATTTATTAACGTAGTAGAATGAAGCAGGGTGAGGCTGAAAGCCGTCGAAGCGAAACGAAACCGCTGACCGAGCGTGACACATGACACACGGCTCGCGGAGCTTTTATTATGCCACAGTCGACCGCTTCCGCTACTTCCGGTCGTGCGTATGTGGGGTAAAGCAGCGCTGTTTTATCATACTAGATACGTTTGAAAGTTCTGTTATAATGCTACTCTGGGAGGTCGTCACCGCTCTATTAAAACGGACAACATATTAAAGCGTCTTTGGTGTTTCCATATTTTCTGTATGGAAATCGAGGGGTTATGACGTCATTAGCAGGCGACACAATGACACTATGGAAACGGTCCGTGTCACTAGTTAAAATTGCTTATTTCTCTGGATTTAAACATTCTTCGAAACATTTGGGATAATGTAAGTACACAAGTCAGCAAAATATATAACACTGTTCTAGTGGTTTTTGGATATTTTAATAAAAAAAATCTTACATATTGTGCCTTTAAGTGCACTCTTCCCAGCGGCTCTGCGCTCGGCTGCTCTGGTCTGCTGTGCTGGAGCTGTGAAATCGCGCTGATGGTCTGTCACATTATTCTCACTGACACCGTCTGAGCGCAGGAGTACCACGCCAAAAGACCAGCTCTAAAACACTTCATAACACACAGCTCCGGGTGAGTTCCGCTTTTTATTTCATAGCTAAAATACACATGCTTTTGTCTGAGAGGGAGGAGTGGAAAAAAAGAGCTTTTTTCGCCGCTTTTTCCACTGATGTAAATATAATTAGGGACTTTCGAACGCTTCAGCTCTCACTGATCGCCACAAAACAGAGTTTATAAATATAAATGCCCGTCATAACCCAGGCAGATTTGGTTAGCGATGAGCGGCCTGTTTAGGACATGTGGCCCTGGGGTTTTAAAGGACGACCAGGGCTTTTTTTGTGGTAGTTTTGTGAGACTAAAGGCAGATGGTGGACTAAAGCCAGCGCGACATTGACTGCTAACGCAAGCTAATACATCTCCATGGTTTCACTCTGAATTTGATTTAAACCAGTTAAACACTGTCTGGAAAAGCGAAGCGTGTTTTTATAGAGTATATCTCTGTGTTAGGTGTGTTAGAAGAGCGGTGGACGGACAACATTAGGTGTATTTGTGTGTTTTGTATAGCTGGGAGCTAACGCTAGCGCTTTACGGAAGTGTATGATAACTAGCTGCTCTCTCATATTTCTATACTTTATTTATTGGCTGTATTAGTCATAAACACAACGCACGTGCGTGCTGTGTTGTGTAGCGCATCGCAGCTAGTTTTGTGTCTTTGGTTCGGAAGTTTAAAACGTTTTAAAAATGCTTTAAATATCACAGAAGGATTTTATTGATATTTTTATAATAGTTTTGTATGTAGTAAGTAGGACACGCCTATAAGGAATGAAGCTTCTAAAGCAAAAAGAGGCTTTAAACCTCATCAGCTCGTTTGTAGACCAGTTTTAATCTCCAGTTCTTCAGTATTGCGTCGTCCCATTACCTTACTATAAACGGTGAAAAAAATGTTTTAAAAGACTATTACATGAAGTTTTACTTTTTTTAAGGTAAAAAAAGCGAATTAACTAATTCAGTTATTTATATTTTATTCATAAAACGTTTTTCATCACTTGTAGTATTGTATGTTATGTAATGTTTATAGCATTGTAGCTCAAATCGGCATATTAACATTTATCTAACTTAATCACGTATATAGTTAGAAACTAAAATATACTGTGACTAATCATCTTTAGTAAATCTTGTAACATTGTCACTTTTATACAGTGAAGTTCTGGCAACCATGTAAATGTAACAATTTTATTTTTTACATTTAATGTTTTTGGTTCTGGATTTTATTTTATTATTTTTTTTTTGTTATAAGTTGTTTTAAAAAATTTTCTAAACGTTTTAACGTCTCGAGCTGTAAATTTGAACCGTGCTTGTTGTTCATAAGCATTTTAATGACTGAACTGTGTTTTTTGAACAGTGTTTTTAATCTGTAAGTGTTTTCTGGCGTGGAATCGGAGAGGAGGAAGTGAGAGAGGGGGTCTCATACAAGCCGAAAGGAAATGCCAATCGCCACTACTGGTCTTTCAGCGTCCCGAGAGCCCTGCATCTGTTCCCCGGACCCCGTCCCCAAGCGTGCTGATTTATGCGAGGACGCAGGGGCCCAGCCAGCGGAATACGGGGGTTCAGAGGGGGGCCACAGCCTGGGCAGCACTAGAATCTCTGGAGCGCTTGAGAGCTCCTCTGCGGCGTCTCATTCCACTCCCACTTCCCCTTTCCACCACCACCACCATCATCATCACCCCCATCCAGTGACTATGGAGCCCCCCAGGACTCGATCACGCTCGCGGTCTGGATTTTACCACGGTGGATTATCTAACTCGAATGGTAATGCTGGGAGTGGCGGCGGTGCACTAAGTCCAGCTGGAGGAATAAGCCACCACCAACTGCAGCTTGGAGCTGCTCATGGACACACCGAAAACCTGCACCCACCCGGGAACACGCTTTCCCCAGACTCCCACAGACACGCAGGGCCTGGAACGCACAGAAACTCAGGAGCAGGTAAGCCAGCCTCAAACCGCCATCATTTTGGGTTAAATGGTTAAAATTTGAATTTTCTTACTGTATTGAGATTTTAACACGTTGTACCTTATTTGGTTGGAAAATGGTATCCCCAGGATCTATGGCCTATTTATAGTTGTATTTTGACCACATCTGACATCGGGAATTGGGGGTTAAGACAGCTACAGGCTCTTCTCCAGCTGTTTATTGTAGTGTTATTGTTTGGAATAGTTTTGGACTGATTGAACCCTGTATTTGTGGAGTATTCAATCAGAAGAACAGAAGTCACAAATATCAGCCGTCTCCCCCAACAGCCATGCAGCTTTGTATTCCACTCCACCCAGTACTACCTCAATACCAGGGTTGTAGGAAACCTTAAATGTTTTTCATTTTATATTATACATATTTTTATTTTTATTTATTTATTTTTAATATTTTTTATTTATTTATATTTATTTATATATATTTATTTTTATTTATTTATATATATATATATTTATTTTTATTTATTTTTATTTATTTATTTGTTTATTTATTTTTTATTGTAAGTCATTGGGTTGAATCTGAAATGGATCTCTTTTACATTTAAATACTGTAATGCAGTGAGGCTGAGCATCTCAGACTGAAACAGTTTCTTTTTAAAGATGGAAAGTCACACACAGGCTTCACGTGAGCTCTGATCTTTTCATAAAAGGACTTTGTCAGCAAGTATGTGGAGGGTCACACTATGAAGTTTTTTCCCTGATAACAGACAAAATTGCAGTTCTACTTATTTCTTCATTAATGTTTGCTCAAGTTCTGATGAGCAGTACACCAAGCATTCTTATTGGCTCTTAAGGCTTTTTGCAAAAAGCCTTTGGCTTTTAAGGCTTTTTAAGGCAAAAGTTGCTTTTTGTGGCCGAGTATACTGCTTTTTCTGCATTCCGCTCCGTCTTGTGCACTACAATGTCAAAGTAAACTCAACTGCAGATGAGCATGGATGGATAAGTTTAACACGTGCAGTACCATGTGGTGGACTCGTTCTATCTCAACATTCACCTCGCTTATGTGCTGTTGTACACAGACACTCCTGATGATGATACTTTGGGCTTTAGTGCCTCATGGTTTACCTTAAGCAGCAGATTTGACAAGATGCTCTTTCGTACTAGATTGTGATGCAAGAGACGGACTTGCATTCATTCAGTTACACAAGCTGTGACTATTCTCCTCTGTTTTGGATGCTTAATGTTGTTATTCGCTGGTCCAAAATAGCACAGCGCTTTCCCCCACAGTATGGGACAATTGTTCCCACCGACTTTAGGGTTTAAGTTAATAATTGACCGGATTGCATCGTCTGTCCAGCGGCATCACAGTGCTTTACGGTTTCAGTATAGCCGAATGGAATTTCCAAAATATAAAGTGTTCAAGCCTCTGGCATCCTTATTTCCTGCCACATGATGGGCTTAATCAGCCACAGCACTTCCTTTTAGCCATAGATGGCAAGCTGGCGGAACCAAATGCACATGCGCCCATGTGTTCACACACCTAGATTTAATGTAGTCACCCCTCACATACTGTTACGAGACATTAAGTGGGGTTTGATGACATAACACATGTAAAATAAATAAATTGGAAAACCGAGCGCATGGCCTGTATTACCATGCATGCATGTGTGAAGGGGGTTGTGCTTTAAGCTCAGGTGTGTTTGCCTACTGGCAGTTGATTTTGTGGCCGAGCTGCACTACACACACACTTTACTAAAAAGCCCAGACTGGAAATACCTGTCTGATGGAGTGAGTGTCAAGCAACCTGCTTTGCCTCCCTGCAAATGACGACGCTGTCGACCGGCTTACGTCACTTCCTAGTACACACTGTCGGTGCGAATGCAACCCTTTAAATGGTACTGGGAAATAGTTCGCGCAAAATCGTCCCAGTACTTTAGTACTGTACATTTAGTTGTGGAACTAAAGTGGTGCGAAAGGCCCTCATGTGTGAGCTTTGTTGGGTCTGTTTGTCATTAAGCAAGTCTTTTCTCTCTTTCTGTCCTATGATTTGTCCTGATATGCTCATCTAGGTGTGAACATGTGATACTGACTGGATGGATAATCAGAGGTATCCACTTTTTGGCATTTTCACACCACCGCAACTGGGTGCGATTTTAGTACCGGATTGCCTTTTTCGAGAACTTTTTTGAGAGTGTATATGTGATATTGACTAGTGGGATATACAGTAGCTGTGTGTGTTTGTGTGTGTGATATTGACTGAGATCAGATAGGCCGCTTTGATAATGAGAGAAGCTCAGCACACTGAAATCCCATGAGTTCAACACCATCTGCTCTCAATACAGAAGCGCTCTCTCTCTGCCTCTCCCGCTCTCATTCCTCATCCCTTTATCTCTTTTGTCCACCCGATTCCCCTTTCATTTTCTCACACTGACTTTCCCTGTCCATTTACCCTCCTGCATATTTCATCCTCTCGTCGAAACTCATATTTGCCTGTAAATGCACATGTATGCATAGAGGGAGGAACCGTGTTAGACCTCCTGAGGCTTATTCTGCTGTAGGTGTTTGGTATTATTCTCAGCTCTGCGTGGAGAGGGAGAAAAAGGGCTATCAGGTCCCATAAAATCAATAGAGAAACGGATTTCTGGTGGGCTTGTGTGCATGCAGCCCCTCCGCTCGTGAGTGTCTGTGTGTGAGCATGCACTCATGTGCGTACATGCGGACAGTTCAAGATCATTTGAAGGGTGTAGAATCCCTCCTGGGGCCGGTCCAGACCAAGCTCAGTTCTGCTGACTCGTAACAGAATTGTAGAGAGAGTATGTTAGACGTGACCAAATGGATTAAGGATCTGAAGCTGTTCTTTCTACCTCTTCCGATCGAAGTTTGATGTGTCCTATTTACTATTGATTAAGAGCAGGCACGCACAATTTGGTTTCCACAGAATTGGAGTGTCTGTCATTCATAAAATTCCATCAGAGCTCCCACCTCTTGTACATTTGTTTGTTACATAGTTTGGTTGAATTGATTATAATGTCAGCTACACTCAAAAATAAAGGTCCCAAAAGGGTAGAGTTGGCATATTTGGGTTCCCTAAAAGAGGCTCTAAGTAAACCGTTCTTAAAAGAAACCCCTTTTTTCCCCTTAGTGTGATGAACATTTTGACAATCTAAACAAAGATTGTTTTTCCACCATAAAGAATCTTTTGTGCAATGGAAAGGTTCTATGGATGTTAAAGGTTCTTTATGGAACCGTAGATGCAATTTAAAGAACTTTTATTTTTAAGAATGTATCTGAAGAGAGTAATACTGTCAGCTCTGTTTAACAAATTTTATTAAATTGAAATCCATACCACCAAGTAGGCATGGGACGATAACCGGTTTCAAGGTATACCGCGGTTTGGAAAAGTCACGGTTTCAAAACCACTAAAATTTTCCGTTATACCGTTCCTGCGGTATGCGTGTGTGTGTGTGTGACTCGTGCTCTCTCTTTCCTTGTGTGTATGTGCACACATCCTCGTACCTCACCGCTCCAAACCATAGCTCCAAACTTAAAGGGGTCATATGATGCTTTTTTAAAGAGCATTATTTTGTGTATTTGGTGTAACAGAATATGTTGACATGCTTTAATGTTCAAAAAACACATTATTTTTCAAATACTGTACATTATTGTAGGTCCTCTATGCCCCACCTCTCTCAAACGCTTCGTTTTC